GGCAGAGAGACAGAAGAAGATAAGGAGCAGCAAAACAAGAGAGCTGGCACAGAGCATGACTAATCTCTATGGACAGAGTTTTGGGGCAAGAACTAAGACAAACTCCCCAAAACCCCTTGGAGACCCCTCCTAGAGAGGAGAGGTAGTGGATTCCTGCTTGAGAGGAATCTTGGGGTGCAGCATGCACTGCAGAGAGAGAGCTGAGAAGTTCAGGCGTCCTGGAGCTGGACTGGGACGGCCGAATGGAATGCAGAGGAGGGCTTTACCCCCCAGCTGCTGCTGCCAAGCTAGCAGTTTTGAGACAGAGCACTGGAACTCTGCAAGGGAGCTTGAATCCCCTGAGGATAGGGACTGTCACGAAGACTCCGTGGTGAAGCGACCTTTGTCCCAGTGAACACAGCCCACAGAAGAGAAAGACCCTCACTTGGAGTCAAAGGGCTGAGAGGGGCTTGGAGACCCCCTCGTGTGTAACAATAAGAGGTCCAGCTACAGCTGCTGCATGGAAGAGAGAGAGAGAGACTGCTACCCTAGAGAGACTTCTGCTCTGAGAGTGGAAAGGATCTCTTCCTTCTTCCCTCCTGGACTTTTATTTGGAGGGAGAGGAGATTTGATCCATTGCAAATAATGATTTATCATAGGAGAGATAGTTAAGATTATGTATATGATGTATTGTAATATTTATTTGTACAGCGATTGTAATATAATTCCCTTCCCCCCATATTGAGTTTTGTGCTGTGTCTGGAAAACCCATCTCACACTGGGTTGAGATGTGGGAGGGGGGCTTGGACTCGGGATTTGGATTTTGGGGCTCTCAAACCACGACAACTTTACAAGCAATGTTACAAATTTGAAATTGCTCTGCAAGTCCCAGTGCCTAAATGAAACCCCAAAATGAGCTCACATGCTTATATCCTATATATATAATATATGCCATGGAGAGTCAGTGTACCTTTTTGAGATTTAACAAAAGAAAGGGAAAACCACAGTGAAATAAGTCATAATAAAGGTATTGGCAGGGAACCAAAGGAGATTAAATTTTAAAGGCCATGAATGTAATTTTTCTAAATTCCCATGTGGGCTAATGAGGAGATTTTAGAAGAAAAAACCCAAAGGAGTTTCAGGGTATACCACAGAGAAGGTGCACTACATTTCTCAATGTATTGTCCAAAACCTGTTGTCACTCAACACTAGGTCCAAGCTAGTTTCTCTAATGTATAAACATGATATAAGCCTATTGTAGCCATTTGGAGTTGGCTCCCTGCCAAGTCACCGAACCACACTGAACGTTTTTCCCTCTCCCCCACCTTTTGAAGGAGAGGGGAAAAGAGGAAAAAAATAAAACCAAAAAACCTGAAATAGATTGAACCAAAGCAATATATATATATATATATACATAAAATTACAGAACTATATACATACGAGAAAAGAGAACCCCAACACCCCAAAACTAAAACAGAAAAGCAGATATACACAGTTAATAGAGAGCTAACAAACAAAAGAATCTTGATACTTTCCTTAAGAAAGTAGAACTGTGCCATTGGACCTCCCCTCCCGAGTCGGCAAAATAACAGGCCTCACAGGCCTGACCAGGCCTCACCCACACACGAGCAGGACTGGCCACAGAGACCTGCTGTCTTCAAGTCCAACGGAAGAGAAGAGGGAAGAAACTCCCCTCTCCTTCTTATTTTTACTTTTTCTTATATAAAAAATAGAATGGAATACTGGGATATGGCACTTCCTTGTTTTGATCTGGTTAGGCTAAAGAAGGCCTAACACCAAACCATCACAGCCTAAAAATACTAAAACAAAGCAAATAATGAATAATCCAAATACGTTAAGCAGATAAAGTACTTCCTATATAATATCTTGGGCTATCAACCACTGGTACCAAACGTTTTCCAGTAGAGTAAGGACATTGAAGTCTTGAGATTTTCCTGCATATCTACAAGGTTATTGGTAGTGACTCCGTTTAATTATTCTGTCAAGTTTTCCTTTTAGTTCAAGACAAGAACATTAGTTGAATTGTCATATAAATACATGTACTGATACTCCCTTTACTATACACTGTTTATTAAAGGCATTCTTCTAAATTGTCCATTTCAATGCATCACTACCTGTGTGACTTGGGTGAGATTAACTCAGGCAACATCAGTAAAATATTCAAAGGGGGTTGAAATCAGTCCTAATGTACTGAGCTGATTTAGAGGATTGTGGATCTGGTCCCAAATCAATCATTGCTAAAAAAGAAAAAGGACATGCAATAGACTTTTCACTTTGAAAGACCAAGAAAATCTTCCAACCTTTTCTGTGTATGCTTCTGAGCCCTGGTCGTGTCCAACTTCTTAGGGCTTCTATGTTACTCACATGCCTTGGTTTTCCCAGAAAAGAAATAATCACATGACCAAGCCTGAGAGTACAGCTACATCTTAACAAGGTTTTCTCTCTAGATTCACATGGAAATAGAAACATACATTGCAATATACGCTTAAAATCAGGTTAGACATATATTACATTATATCATGGCATATATTATGAAGGAATCGTTTTCTCTTTCTATATATAAAGTAAACTGAATGTTACATTATGGTAACCTTTTTTTTAGTTCTGCTATAGTGTGTGAGATTTTTTTATTACCATCAAGTATTTAAGTAGCTGCACCTCAACATTTTTTCTTCAATATTTGACTCCTTCCCCTGTTCAAGTCTTTCTAAAATATTAATGAATAAACTGTGCTACTCAACACAGTACTTGATTCTGTAGTCTGTACGAAACTCTTGTAAGTATTAAAACCAAGGCACCTATGTTTAATTCAATATGCTTTAGCCAAGCAAGAGGGAGGTCTTAAAGTCCAGAGAAGGTTTGACAAAGACCAGGATTAGCATATCCATCAGTCTGAAATTGTCAGCCAGTGGAACTTGAAATAAATAATAGAATGAATTGGATGAAAAAGAAATTACTAGAAAAAGCTGGTCTTTTCAGAGCCATGGAGAAAACAGGGCTGAGTCTTTCTCCATCTTTGGGGTTAGGGTAGAGAAAAGAGGATGTATCACTGCATTTAATTTTGCAATTGCTGAATGAGAAGCTAATGTTATGCACTTGCAAGGCTGCTTTTTAGTTATTTTTTTTTAGCTGCAAAATAGAATTACCAATTTGATAAATGCTCTATTTGGATGGAATATAAGGTTTTCTTGAGTGTATAGAATGTTATCTTACTCATTTTAGCACTAGTCTCTAGCTTTATCTGAGAAACAGTATCTTGGATCAGAACACATTGTTATTATTAATAAGAAAAAATATAAAGGGCAGTATCATTAATTTACCAAGGAGTAAACTGGTATATGGTTTCACGTATCAGATTCAAACAGACAAGCATATATTATTTGCAGATAACAACCTCTTACAAGCAATTTCTGAAAAGCAAATTTGGAACAAATTAATTGTAGCAAAATCCCTGATAGATTTCTTACAGCTTCTATTTAATAGTTAATCACCAGATCACTCCTTTGTACATCAAAGCTCTCTATGTCATGTGGCCTTGCCCTGACTGCACATCTGGGTAGACAGGGGGCATTCCTCTTCCCAGCTCACTCTACTCCCTGCTATCCCTGTGGGGGAGAGCTAAGCAGAGCAGAAGGACTCACCACTCCTCTCAGACTTCAGCCCACCAGACCAGCAGTGTCACAAGGACCTCACAGCTGCTGCTGAACTCTCTGGCATATAACCACAAAGTCAAACAAATCAGACACAGTTAGGCCCACTTAAAGTAATATAAATAATCCTATAAATGACTCTGTAGCTAGTAAACCTCGAAAGCTCTCCAATGTGCTTGGGGGCTGAGTTAATTTGGTACCTAGCACAGTAAGAAGGCCCTCTTGCTTTCCCTTAGTGCCCTGGCCCCAAATGGAAGAGCAGCGCTGGAACTCTGCCATGACCACACTGAGAGGAAATGTAGAAAGAGCAATACCTAATCTAAAATTAGTGAAGTACGAGGCAACAAGGAAACAAAATCAAAATTAGCAAGAGAGGGAACCAGAGTTAAAATAAATTTCTACTGGGGAGTTCCTAACAAACATCATGTTTAAGAAATTAACCAATTTGCAGCAAAACAAAAAGAAGCAGAAATCTCCAGTGAAGCTCTGGAAAGAAGCAGTTTTTAAGAAGTTTGTAGAATGATATGGGTGCAATTCAGACATTAAAAAAAAAATCAGGGTAGATATCAGAAGTATCAACAGAAAACACAGAAACCATCTTTGCAGAGTCAGAAGGTGAGACATAACAGGTGAGCATACACTCAGAAAACTGTAGAAACACAGGGCTTTTCTGGACTGGGGTACACTAAACTACCTGTCTGAAAATACATAATTGCTGTTTCGCTCAGCCTCTCTATAGATCTGCACTCTGCAAGGATACCAACACTCCAGACAGTTGATTCTACTTTTCAGCTCCATGAGTTCTTTATGAGTCTACTTATCTGCCCTTATTTTGAAATGCAGGGCTAGAGATATTAAATTACACTTTGGAAAAAAATATATATTTCCCATTCCCATGTAACTCTAAAGTGCTGAAGATACAGAGCTCTCAGTGAAAGTCTCACTTGAAAAATGTACACATTTGTTTTGGAAAGAACTTTTCCTCTGTTTCAATCTCTCTAAAATGGTGGATGTACTAGAGAAACATAAGAATTGTTCACTGACCTGTGGAGGTTTATCCTATTTGTTTAGCTCTTTTCCTATTATTATAAATGGTGCTGTCAAAAGCCTTCCTGTGAAAATATAAGTAGAACATAGGCAAAAAAGAATATTTTGGGCACAGTATGACAAATACCAAACTGAAAACAGAACTTAAAACAAAACACAAGATCTCATTCTTTCTAATAACACACATTTATTTACTCAGGACAGATTTTTCAAGGGAATAAAAGACAGCTCAAATTGAAAAAAAACTATTTTGAGAAACTATACATCACATAGCTGTACAGTTATCATACTGGCATGTCTGTCAGAACTGTATCTGGAGGCTCATGTGACTGAAACGGAGCCAAAAAAAACAGATATAAAAGCCTGGGCAAACATTGCAAGTAAAAAAGAAATTTAGGAATATTTTAGAAGACATCAAATGCCAATTACTTAACATTATTTTTGTTTCAGATCTCTGTAACCTGCATGCATTTAAAAATCAAGATAAATGCATTAATCAAATCTTGATTGTAAAGCAGAAGGACTTTTTTTCATAAGTCACCAGATGGGAAAACATGCAATGTCATATATTCTGTACCTCTGCATGAAGAAATCTGCTTTATTTTGTTTGAAGGACTGAACTGCTAAATTTGCTTACTCTCCACAGCTGTTTTTCTCCAAAAGGAAAGGCTGTTAAGTAATGGTAGAAACGAGCTGAAAAGCACGGAATCAGAATAGCTAGTCAGCCTTGTGTATGGCTGATTATGTGAGAGGGAGAAAGAAAAAAATAAGAATGGATGTCTTTGTATTTTTTGTTATAAGAAACAAAGTAAAGCATGATTTGTATTAGGACTTTTGTACTTGATTTGACTGCAATTTAAAAGTGATTCTGAGATCATGGCAATCTAAATATAGAGATATTTACTATAGATGAAAAAGATCTATTTTTAATCTGATGCAAAACATAAGAGCATGGAAAAAGATTTAATTTACAGCATTCATAGACTCAAGCTGCCGTGCGTGTGGTAAAGATTAAATAATTGAATAAAGACTGTTAAATTAATACCTTTGATAACACCCTTAAAATTACTATGAATCAAAAATATTTGCACTAACTCCTTGATATTTGAGATATCATTAAGACACAAAAGTCTTGATACCTTTTCTCATGGGTGAATTTCAAGTATAAGATGGTTCTTGAGTTTATTGATGGAAAATACAACTTTAATTCACTCAAATGGATAATAGATATGTATCAGTGTTGTGATTTAACCCCACCCAGTTGCCCACCCACTCCTTGAGCAGCAGGATCCAGGAGAGAATCAGAAGGGTAAAAGCCAGAAAACTAGTGGGTTAAGGTAAAGACAGTTTAATAGGGAGAGCAAAAGCTGTGCTCACATGCAAAGCAAAACAAGGAATTAATTCACTGCTTCCCATTGGCAGGCAGGTGTTCAGCCATCTCCAGGAAAGCAGGGCCCCATCTTACATACTGGTTACCCGGGAAGACAAACACCATCACTCCAAACATTTCTCCTTCTTCCCCTCCTGGTTTATATACTTAGCACGAGGTCATAGAGTATGGAATGTCCCTTTGGTCATCTTTTAATTTCATTGACTCTCCTGCATATATCCCCACTGATTGCATATATTCCCACTGATTACAAATGGAGCCTTGAACAGCTGGTTCAGCCTTAAGTTTAAATTATAAACAGCTGGTAATAGATAAGACTTAATGACAGATCTTGTGAGTCTATTCAAAACACTAATTTCTGGCAACAATAATTTCTGGAAAAACATTGTCACAGTTTCATCTATTTAGGTAAGCCTGACATCATTATCCCTATGGTCTTAAAGTTTGATAGACAGTAAATGAGTTTAGTACAGTCCTTTTGTTTTAGTTTTTCAAATTATCATTTTGAGCTGTACAAAAAGGAGGCATTTTTTGACTGCTAAAAAACGGTGAGTTTAATCAAACAATACATGAACATTCCCAGCAGCTTACCACAGTTAGAAATGTAACTTAGTAAAACTAGGAAAACTTTTATGAATGGAGAAAAGATGCATTGATAGAACTCCTGACCCACTAGGGGTGTGAGATCATCAGCTATCTTCTCCACAGGATCTCAGGAGGGGGTGGATGTTTAAGAAGTTCCCAAAGATCTTTGTAAAGGTTTTGTAAGGATTGTGGGTTATCAGATTCCTGAGCAAGCATACAGGGTTTCAGGGAGAAGCTTAGTAAGTCTCCTGAGTTTTGCAAGGATTGAGGAGAGTTTCAACATACTCCTGCAGAGATTTTATAGCTTTGTGTGACTGTTAAATCTAGAGAAAAAGAAGTCCACCAACTTTCATTTTTTTCCCCCAAAAAATCAGCAAGATGAAAAATATATGGGTTTCCAAAAATTTTACTTTTTGACCTTTAGAAACAACTGGTTTTGCTAATGGTAGTCCTCTTGCCCTGAATTCACTGCTATATGTGGCTAACCTCAACTTTGAGATGATTAAAGGCTTTTATTTTCTCCTTGTCCTCTGGTCAGGGACACTTTAACAAGTTCCAGCTACTTACAGAGCAGTAGCAATGCTATCAAAGGAGATAAGCATCACTTTTTTTTCCTGTCATGGTTATATGCAAACTTCAGGCAGCCAAACCCTTACACTGTTTAAAGTTAAATTTTGTGTGTGCTTATAGTCAGAGAGGGAATGTTTCTAAAGTGAGAAATGCCTCTCATTATTTCTGAAGACAGACAAGTCTTTGAAGAAATAGTTTTTGAAGTCAGTGTTTAATAATCTGAAAAATCATGAAAATGCTGTGAATTCAGCACAGGAATATTGTACATAAAAGCTACTTCAATTTTTTTTAAAACATCTCTCTTAGGTTCAAAAGTTCACTTCAGTGACATTGTGTAATTAAAGACCTAAAAGTCTGGATGATTGAAATACTCTGGGGTGTAAAATTGCAGAGAAATACTGGAAGGCAGCCTTAACTGAGATATTTTAAAGACTGAATTTTTGCTCCTCTATATGAAGTCAAGAATATCATCTTATAAGAACGCACAATGAAACAAGGAAAGAGATTTTTTCATACTCTTTTTGATGCTCCAGAAATATCTGGTTCAGGTCACCTCAAGTTTCAGTGAAGCATTTCTCTAAGAACATTTATATTATCACAGTTTTAGAAGACCCAGTGTTTTGGCACTATATAGACCCTGAAAGAAAAAGAAAAAAAAAGAAAAAAGACAAAAAAAGGGGAAAAAAAAACCTAAAAAAAAAAAAAAAAAAAAAAAGGGGAAAAAAAAAAAAAAAAGAAAGAAAAAAAAGGCATTCCCTCCCCAGAACTGTTTTCAATCCAGTCCTGAAAAGAGAGAAACAGTGACTTGAAATGACTCACTAGGGTCACTCCATTAGTCATCAGCAGTGCCAAGAATAGAAAACAGGTTTTCTCATTCCATGCCTCAGACCTAATTTGTTAGACTATATTGCTTTCCAGTCAGAATGGTGTCTGTGACAGTGCGTAATAATATAATGTGGTTTTCTCCTTTCAACCCCTTTTGTCCTTCTCCAGACTAAGGCTTGCATACTTCCGTTCAGGTTTTCAATACTTAAAATGTAATTATTTCACTTTAAAGATACCATCACAGCACTACTCATATTCAAAATGTTGCATGAAGCTGCAAGTGTCCCTTTTCAGTGAATTCTGAGTTAAGTAGGAAGAAAATTACTATCCTCTTTACTTCAAGTCATATTTTCCTTTGATTTACTAATCCATTTTGTTTTATCAGCTACCTGAGTACCCATTTGAAACCATTTTTATAAAGTAATTGTTTTCAGTGAGAGAAATGCATTTTACAAATTCTAAGCCATTCACAGAAACAGGGAAAAATTAAATTGGATAGGGTAGTCATGATTTTTGTTTAGAAAAAATAAAGGCTGTTGCTGCTCAGAGATCACAAACAAAAATGAAATCCTATTTTGAAGAAAGTTATATTCTACTTTCAGAGCATCAACAAAAAATCAAGGACCTAAATTAACTTCTGAAAAAATTAACCATCCACTTACTGTACGCAATACAACAGGAGCCATAATTCCTTACGCTGCTGCTGTTTTGTAATGAACTATTGTACTTTTCTATATTAAAAAAGGCTATGCTCATATGAAAGACAATTGCTCTGCTGTTTGAATGCAAATAATGTAATATTGTTCCTTACTTTGAAAGCAACTTTCCTAACCAAATAAACTGGCCTTTATCTGATGAGAATTTCAACATACAAAGTGATTTTTTAAAGAAGGCCAGATGATAATAATGTTTTCTTAGCATTATCTTACCCTTTCTCACTGAACAGTTGAGTCGGAGATGATTTTCTCTACTGGTGTTTATATTGATTGAATTAAATTCTTTGGTACGCTTTATTATGTACACAAGTCCTCGTGCTTTATCTGTATGTACAGTTTGTCCTTCTTACAGAATTACTACATAGAAGCTCTACAAGGAGGATAAACAGCAATAATGGAGCTTGTTTTTTTCCTGTACATATTTAATGAACTTCATCCAAAATTGTGACGGGAATCAGCAATCAGGCACAAAGCCACCCTTTTACAGCCTGCATGAGGGTCAGTAGCATTGACCCTATTTAAAGAGCAATTCAAGGAGACTGGGCAACTGAAGATACCAGTTGGCCTTTGTCTCTGACAGGGTTAAAATACTTAAGTTCTGGTGGCAAAGCAATTCAGAGTGGCCAGGTACTGACCAGCTAAGTTGATACCTACAAAGCTTTGGGTGGCCAAAACCACTTTATTGAGTTGTATATAATGAAGGGTTAAGTTCTCCATAGGATTTGTAGAAACAGCTAAAGAGATTGCATTTTGTAATATGAATATGTATTACAAGCAAAGTAAGTATAGTCTTTGAAATAGTACTGGTCAAAATATCAATTTCACTTGTTATGGGGCAAATCACTGAGGGGGTAAATCCTGTGAAGGTGCATATCAAACAACTTAGCAGCAAGTTTGTATTTTTCCTTCTCTGACTTTTCAGTGCTGATAAACACTTTAAAACTTGCTCACTCTCATTCTACCCATATGGACCCACTATGGTATAATTAACTTTCATCTCAGAGTATATATCAGAAGCAAATCAGTGATAGATTACATCCATGAGCTAATATTTGCTCCATTAGCTCTAGTAAGGATTGGAGCTGTTTGGGCATCAGAAGTCTTATTATTTTTTGAGAGACAGGAGTTTTTTAGTCCTTTAAAGGTCAAAGTTGGTCTGACAGTGGAGAACACAAATTCCAAAGTTTGCAGAGAATGATCCCAGTTTTCTGACTTTTGAAACCGAGCTGTTCAAGGACCGCAGCTTATATCAGTTTTATTTCCAGCTTGTAAGAACAGGTGTGGGTTTCACCTAGTCTTTCAAGCAGAGCATATTGTGCTTGACCCCATTCCACTTACAGAATAACATGCACTCATCAATTTTGAACCAAAAATTCACAAGTGAGTTGACTAGGTACCTATCCATTGTAATATCACTGCATACATTGTGATAACTCTGGTATTTGAAAATGGAATTATAAAATAGTTAATCAGAATTTAAATCCCTTTTCTTCTTGTGTGTTTATTGGGAAAAAAAATTTCAATATCTGCACACTGAAAAACTTACTATATTTGTCTATTAGACCTTCATTTTGTATTGCATTAATTGCCTTGGCCACAGG